TAAGCATCTGCTTTAGCAGTGCTTTTCCTGTACATTAAGCTTCAGCACTGTGCATTCATGGCACTGAAACTATAGTCAATAAAAAATAAACATTATGTCTAGAAGCTCTTAATCCATATTTCACATCTGTATTATCAACTCTGTCCTCAAGCATGCACTTAGGAATGGCATTGCTAATGTCATCCCTAGATACTCTTTTTGTGAAGAAATGAATTCCTACATTTTTTGTAGGCTGTTGTTTGTTTTTTCATTTCTTTCTCTTGTATCTTCCTTTAAAGAAAACACCAGTGTATTCCACTGTAAGCAGTATGCGTCTTTTGCTTTTAATGTTCACTTATTTCGAATAAATAAATATGTTAAGCTTGTTTTATTTTCAAATAAATTGTATTCAGGGTGTGTAGATTAACCCCTTAATGATGTGGGATACGGAGGGAGGAGAGAGGATACTAGTACAGACACTTCACTAGGTCGGCAGCTTCATGCTTTATTGACTGATTCCAGCTTCACAAGATGTCTATATGATACTCACTTGCCACTCATAATTGGAGACCTACAGCATCAGTGTGGTGGATCACTAGTCACTTTCTTTCCTTAAAGCATAATGTAAAACCTTCCTCTGCTGAGCAGTTTGTGTTTCTGTAACACTGCTGAGTCTTTCTTGCAGCCTGTGTCAAGGATTGAACTTTCCAAATTATGTATTTCAGACGTTGAGAAAGAAGGGACTTAATGGCTGTGACAGTCCAGACCCTGATGCAGACGATTCAGTAGGTCACAGCCCTGAGTCTGAGGAAAAGTACAGGAAAATTAATGAAGATATTGATCTAATGATCAGCAGGCAAAGATTATGTGTAAGTACTCTGAGCTCCCTTTCATTTTTTTTACTTTCTGATATTTCTCTGAACCTGGCAGGCATTGAACAAGAAAGAAAACAAAGGTTGTGAAAGTCCTGATCCTGACTCCTCTTACGCTCTCACCCCACGCACTGAAGAAAAATACAAAAAAATTAATGAAGAATTTGATAATATGATCAAGAGCCATAAAATACCTGTAAGTACCAAAGGTTAGATGGCTGTCTGCTGATAACTGCTGCAGTAACAAACCATAACCCTTTCAGTTCTAGCTTCTTAAGGAAACCCATTTCAGCTAGAAACAGGCAATAGTCAAATATATAATTAAACACTGTGGTCAGAAAATTTCACACAACATATTTTTCTTCCAAGTATCTACTTCTGACACACAGACAAAGCCTACTATGGGTGAAACCTACAGAAGGAAGTGAAATATACATATAGACATTATATTCACTTGATTTACAAAACTGTTTCACCACACCATGTACCCAAATAATACCTAAAAAATAACAATGGACATCTTTCTTTGTGGATAGGCTAACAAACCCACAGAATACTTTCTGTGGTGATATAGAAAAAACGATGTACAACTGAAATTCCTTTATATATAGTAATTAGTGCATTTTGTGCCTGTCACTTCAGTTCTCAAGTGTCTCTGCTAAACTCAGTTGCAACACTGAAGGGTTCCAGCTACTTGCTCACTGCAGAGAAACAGACTGCATGAGAGCCTAATGACAGGATTCAGGCCTGTTTGTGTGTTGGGGTGATTTTATAGCTTTATCAGAAAATTTTCTTTGACATCATCAGCATTTCTTTAATGCTTTAACATGAGCTAAATTTTGTTTTAACCGAGTAAAAATTTCTAACCATCAGTCATATGCCTTGCCAGATACATAAGAGAAATAACTCTGCATGTGCTATTTGGTCTGCACAAGACATACAAAGAGTGAATACTTTGTCATTATGTGTATTATATTTATTAAGCCAACAAAAGGAATGTGGAGATTTGGAGGTTATATTTGGTCAATCTTCCGAGTGTGTGTGGAAGACAAAATAGGGAAACAAAGATTTGCCTGGGTCCGAAGAAGCATTTGAATTTGTACAGGTAACTGCTTGTTTCTGAAAGAGAAGAGATGATTTTTTTTGTATTCATTCATCATTCCCACATGAAGGTTGTATGGTTAACTACCAAAAAGGATGTCTGTATATCCAAGAATGAGCTAAGTGTCCTCTGTAGTGCTTGCCAATTATGTGTACAAAATCTGATACCCAAACTGAGGATACCTCTTAAGGATGCTCACATTCCATCTCATGCAGAGTAAGTGTTCTTTCCATTAATTTTCAACAGAAAGATTTTCACTCAAGATAATTAAAATTTGAAGAGGGTCTCACATCATGCCAGATATATTTCGGGGGAGGGCAGAGAATTAAAAAATAAATACCAGACTGGCATCAAATTTGATAAATTAATATTTGAAATGGCTGGTTAATGATGCCCAACATGTATATAAAATATCAGGGAGGGATACAGAGATATTTAATCTCTTTTCACCTCCCTTTTTATTTGCTTCATTTGCAAAGCTGGTTTTCTCAGAACAAAAAACTCTAAAGTTGTCAACATGAATTTGGTTTCTCAGGGTGGAACTCAGTTTGACAAATGACAACTGCAGCATTTAGGAGGACTGTTAAAAGCTGGAATACTTGACCCTTTGTCATGTCAAAATCTCACCAATTGCCATTCCTCCATTCCTTTTCTGTTTCAAATCAATCTGACAGAATTTTTGGGATGATCCTTCAGAACATCTTTATCTTGTACTAGCTGGTTTTGTTCCAACAAAGCAGCACATGTTATAATAATTTGAAATCTTATGACATGAAGAAAACAAAACTTGGGAAAAAAAACCTTATTCTTGTAGTAGTGAGGTCTATCACTTTTTTTACCTCTATTAGCATTTGGGAAAATCGTCTTTTCTATAAAACCAAGTTGTAGGAATTAGAAATAACACAGTTAATCTGAACATGGTGCATCAATTTAGTCCTTCCAAAATTAACGGAATGTCCCTCTGGTTGCTTTCATTTAATTTAACCTTTTGACATCAAATATAGTCCAACTTCAGTGATTAGCTTGGTAATTTGGGGTATAATGTAACTTCCTACCTTTCAGGGATGTTATGAGCTACAGTGTATTGATCTTGTTGTGAAATTACTTCAGAGGTGGTTCAGAGACACAGAAATGCAAACCATTAGCATTTTTTTCACACAATACAGAATATCCTGTCTCTGGATACTTCACAGAATTCAAGGCCTGTATCCTCCATCACGCTGCCTACCACAAAAGGAAGTATCAGTAGATGTTCTCCCCTAATGCAACAGGAACTTCTCTTGGCGTAAGCTGAGATGTAATGGGCAAGATGGAGCTCACAACTAGTGCATAATTGAAATTTGTAACTATCTGGTTTTATATATAAATATTATGTATTATATTGTATAAAATAA